TCAGAGGGGCGTTCCGTCGGACAGCGTTACTCCTGCTGATCCGTAACGCATTGCTTTGTGTGTGTGCCAGGTTTCTTATTCTTCTTTGTTATGTTGTCATATGACGGACGGGAAGGAAAATGTGTAAAGGCTGCTTAACCCAGCTCTGTTTGTGGTACTGCGCTGGCGTGACCCGGGGTAAGAAAGGAGTGTTTTCACTTGTCGGCCTTGCTTAAACTCGGAGTACACCAACTTGCTTTTGTCTCCGCAAACAGGGATTTCGAGCACAAAATTAAGCGCAATGTAATGCTAGCAGTGTTTTCCATTTATCCACACAAATATGAATTTAACAAATGTTTTTAGGTTTGTAAAATAAAGCACACAACTTATCAAATTCCAAAATTAAAACTACTTGTTCAACCCTGGTTCACACTTCTAGACCAGTTCTCCAGTTACATCAGTAATGCTCCCTCTCTGCTTCAGTCTGCAAAATGCTTGGTGTTCAGCTGGTGATAAAATGGTGGTTTTGGTTTTTTTTTTTTCTCTTTTTTGAATGCATGTGTTATGAATGTACTCTGTTCTGTGTTGAAGAGAAAATTGTTCCTTTTGTGGGCTTTATGTGGTGGTCATGAAATACGGCTGTGAGTTGAGGAGGTCTGCATTGTTCACATTCTATGGATGGAAAATGGAGTACAGAGATATGAAGGTAAATGCACTTGAAAGTTTTGGGTGTCTGAGCTGACATCAAGGGCCTCTCTTTTTTGAGTCTTTGTTATAAGTTACTCCATACTCAAAGCATGGTTCCTGTCTGTCATCCGCCCAGCTAAGACTGTTTACAAATTTCTCATCTTAGTCTCAGCGTCCTTGCTAAGCACCGAGAAAGTCATAGCCCATCCCTCCAGACTCCCTCCCTGTCTCTTTCCGTCTCACTTGCAGTGCTGTTTTGTTTGCTTTACCATTACAAACTGCTTCATGAGTACTTAACTCCGCTCCTAATCGCCTTATCCAGTGAGTTGTAGTCTTCTCATCTGGCTTTTTATCTAATCTCCCTTTCA